GCTGCCCCTGCATTGCACTGTTCAGATGATGTTCTGGAGCCAGAAGACTGACTTGGCTCTCTGGAGACCATCATGAAACCAGGTCGGAAAGGTTGACCCCATTCTTCCAGCAGCAGCAAGAAACATTGAAAAACAAAGCTTTCCAAATCGACAGTAAAAGAAATCCATTGGGAGCCTCTCTGCGACTAGTCCAACCGAAAACTAAAACCACATTCAACAAGAACGAACTAACATCATAGTGTAAGCAGCATTTCAAAACATAGGACATCTGAACATTCCATCCAAGACTGCACTGAACTGTGCGGCCGAAACCGTCCTTGAAGTGCTCCGTGTGTCGCTGCCAGAGTGAGAAGGGTGTGGCCTCTGCCCCAGGGCCTGCAACATGGAAATGGAAAGCATCTAGCCAAGGAGTGTGGGGGAACAGCGGTGTATTATCCTTAGGACTTCAGACACGCCTCTGCATGTACATGTTCTGTAGAACCTACAGATTCCAAATGGCAGAATGAGCGGCCCTTTTTATCCTTGCCGAAGGGCCGTCCTTGACATGCACAAGTCGGTCGTCAATCGTGTGACAGCGGGGAACTGAACAAAAAGAACCCAACCACAAAGTCTAATACATTATTCTGGTTTTCTGCAATCTTCTTAAGTTAATTCTCTTACGAGATTCAATGAACTGATTCAATGATTCGAAACATCGGGTCATCGAACAACGTGTGTCATGCAAAACTTGCACGGGCGAGTCCACCGGCGACAACATTCGTCATCTCTTGTCTGACATAAAATCATACTTTGCGAAAGACACGTTGGAAAGTTATAGCATTACGTACACCGGGGACTTGCTACGGCTCCTCTTCTTCGTCCAGCGACTGAATTGTCCTCGTGAAACGGCCCTGCAAATCCTTCAACAAATCGAGTGAGCTGCGCCTGTCCTGCTCCAATGTGAAGCATGAACCGAAAACGTGTGCAGCGATGTCGTCGTCCAGCAAGTGCAGGTCGCGTGCTCTCTCGCGCCATGCAGTCTGGAAACGAACGAGCGCTTGTGAGATGGTCGGCGTGTGCTTGACGAAGCCCTTCGGGTCGGGAGTGAACAGCGAGCGTGTCGTCTTCGCGTAGCAATCCCACGTCACCACACCGAGTGCCCACATGTCCGCCTTCGGGCCGATCTCCACCTCTTTCATCAAAGTGAAGCTGCTGAGCAGTTAAGGGAAACGACAACAAAATGAAACACATAGTCATACTTCCTGCCAAAAAACAAGTCAATTCTTAAAGACATGGCTGTTACTAGCAAGATATGAAGTTTTTCAGGCTATGTCTTTGACTAAGAAGCTGAGTCTACGACTGCATGTGCTGACATGACTCTTCTATGAATCAAGAATCAGATCTTTGTGTCAAGTTTTCAATTACAATGGCCATTGCGAGTTTGCTAGTAGTAATGACATCAGTTGGATCCGGGAATGCCTGAGGTTGATCTGGTCCTGCAGTTCAGATCCGCAAAATCATAAAGTGTTACTAGAATGAACATACGCACCGGGCTTACTACTTTCAACTTTCTTCGACTAGGATTCATGGTCCAGGCCTTGCCGTCCCCGGAGTAAAGGCACTCGATCGGCCGGTAGTACGTCGTGTAGACTTCGTCAGCTCTGACTTTTGCTTTTCCATTGAGTGGCAAAGCTCGGCAAAAACCAAAGTCGGACAGCACCACCCGCTCGCCGAGGAGAAACACGAGGAAGTTGTTCGTTTTCACGTCCAAATGTACGATGTTTTTGCTGTGCACAAATGTAAGAGCTGCGAGTGTCTGCCGAAAGTACGTCGTTACTTGGGCTCGTCGTGTGCTCCAGGGAACTCCGTCCTGAAGGTCGTCCGTCTTCAAGTCCCGTGTGGCCTTCAAGAGGTCGCAGGAAGCCCGCTCCATTAGAATTCCCGTGTGCCCAGTCGAGGATGTCAGCAAGGCATAGAGTCGCAGAACATTCGGATGAGGTCCTATCTGGCTCAAAAGAGTGAACTCACGGGTCAAGTCCCACGTCTTTTCGAGACCGTCTTGGTGCACGTCCAACAGTGCAGTCTCCCTGTCCGGCGTGCGAACGGCCACTTTCAAGGCTAACTTCAGGCCCTGGTACGTGCAAGCGAAAATCTCCCCGTACGTGCCGCGACCCATATGTTTCTCCTGCACCAGTGGGTCCTCGGCCGTGTAGCGAAAAATGCCACGACCGTCGAAGTCCTGCGACTCTGCGACGTCCGGCAGTTCTCTGTCCATGAACGAAGCGGGGGGAACTTCCGTGTGTTTGGCCTGTCGAAATTCTTCGCGTTGGACCCGATTCTCCTGGTAGCCCTGCCTGGCCTTGCGTGTGTACTCGTCACGGAGGTCCTTTCGGTTGTGCCTCGGGGAACAGAGGAATTTTACTGGACGATTGGGTGAAAAGGTAATCCCCGAGTAAAAAGTAACATGACTTGTATTAGGACTTTTAGCTACATCTTATTAATTATGTCTGAAGTAAATAACTTTGGTACGTAGCTAAGATGGCATATTCGGGTTCCTGACCAGAATTGCCAAGATTTTACTTCCCGTGGCTTCAGATGACTTGGGGTTCTAGGCAAGGGGCACATGTGTCAGTATCTATATTGATTTTGCAGCCAAGAAGCCACTTGCGCAGATAATGTTTTGAACCGCGAAGTGATGTTTTCCGGGACAGTCGACGACGAGATTTGGGGTCCACAGAGTCCTTGCACATGTCCTGCATGAACAGCGCGTATGCCGAGGGTCGTCGTGACAGTCCCACCTCCTGTAACTTCGGCCGGGCCACCATGGCACGAGTAATACTTCGAGGATGGAACCACGAGTCGAGACATGTACAGAGACTCTTTCCGTTCCATTTATTTCAACAAAACTGAATTCTCATGGACTCCCACCGAGAATAACAACCTAGGTTTCAAGTACAAACATTTCTGGTACAATTTCCAGTTGCGCTACATGACTACTCATTATCTTGTGTGTCCGTGGGGAAAGTTACACAGAAGGTGAGTGAGGGCGCGTTGGCTCGCCATATCAGTACATGTCTGGCCTACTTAAAATACGTGCTCAATGCATGGACGACATGCTCCTGAACTTGAACCCACATCACCGCCACTGTCTCACACACGTAGCAGTGCATTACAGAAGTCTGACTAGAAGCATCAATTGCACGGATCAAACACGCGTGCAAAGCGGAATAATCCTCTTTTGGGCCCGACGAATGTGTGCATCGATGCTGAACGACGATGTGCTACGAGGAGAAAAAGTCCAATCACGGGCATGTCAAGTCCGAGTGAACTCAGGAGTCGAACCTTGTCAATCGCTCCTGCAAGTTTTCGGGTGGGTCACGTCCTTCGTGGTGCTCCACCCATGACCAACCTTGTGTTACACAGGCTCGACCGGCGGCAGCTTCACCTACTTGTGTCCATGAAATACTACGTGTAATGCTGACTACAGCTGTCTTGTACGACACCTTCCAACGACCATTCTTTGGGTCCGTCCAAACCTGTACAGTATCAGGAACCATGCTCTTCACAAGCTCGTCCGTCGTGGCATTCAGCTTTGCGTACACCCGGTCGTACTGCTGCTTTAGCTTTTTGCTGTCCTTCTCGGCCTTCTGAGTCTTGCGTCGGCGTGTGTCCTGTCCGGCCTTCCAAAAGTCCTTGTCCAGGTCCGAGACGGCGTTCTTGTACATCGTGCATACCTTGGGTCGTAGACTTTTGGCCGAAACCGTGGACCGACGGGCACTGAGCTCCTTGAGGGCCTTGTCCTGCTCGCCAATGAGCAGCGTGTCCCGAACGACGGCTTCCAAGTCCTTGTCGTCGACCTCCGGCATCCACTTGTCAGTCTGATGCCTTGCCAGGATTCGTTGAACCACGTCCTCTTCGACCAACGAGTTGTCCATGTTGAGCATGGCGGCAACAGCCAGCTGATGTCCTGCGTCCACACCTGATTTGGGTTGGGTGGCGGTCCAACCCATGTGCTGGCACAACCTGCGCAACAAAGCCTCAGAACAGGCAGCGAAGCCCTGCTCGGCGTGAAAGTCCAACGTGCCCATCTTCTTGTCCACCAAAAACACGATGCCGTTGTTGAGGTGGCTGCCCTGCGTGGAACGACCTCAGCAGTAGCAGTAGCGGCAGCAACACTCTTAGTAAAAAATGATCGCAATCGTTAAGTTTTGCGCCTGGTCAGTAAAAAGCGGTGATATCACTAGGAAGACTGGTAAAAAGACTCGAAAAGGGTAGTAGTAGTAGTAGTAGTAGTAGTAGTAGTAGTAGTAGTAGTAGTAGTAGTAGTAGTAGTAGTAGTAGTAGTAGTAGTAGTAGTAGTAGTAGTAGTAGTAGTAGTAGTAGTAGTAGTAGTACTACTACTAGTAGTTGCAGTAGTAGCAGTAGTAGTTGTAGTAGTAGTAGAAGAAGTTGTAGTAATACTAGTAGTAGGAGTAGTAGTACTGGTACTAGTAGTAGTAGTAGTAGTAGTAGTAGTAGTACTACTACTACTACTAGTAGTACTTGTAGTAGTAGTACTACTACTACAAGCAATCGCAGTAGTTTACAGTAGTAGAAGGAATCTCAGCAACAGTCCTAGTAGTAGTAGTATTACTACTACTAGTACTAGTACTACTAGTACTACTACTACTACTACTACTACTACTACTACTAATACTACTGCTAGCACTAGTACTAGCACTAGTAGTATGGCCAAAAAAGTGGTAGCAGTACACACAACCACACCCTCCTTTCGTCAATACCCAAAACCTCGACGCACGTGCCATCCTGGGCTACTCAACCTAACTCTGTGAAACTTCGAATCCTTGACTGTCGAATCGCCTGAGTTGTTCAGAAACCCATAAAAAATAGCTTCAGTGCTACCCCCCCCCGGGCCGAAACTTACAATCTGAACCGGAGAAGCCTTCCGTGTCAATCAATCATCGTCACTCATTATAGGACGAATATATATGTAGAGAATGTCCGTGTCGGGCTGACAATGTTCAACTGTACTGCAGCCGAGGCACGCAGAGGTGAAACAACTCGCAGCCGCAACACTTCCAAGTCCAAAGATGTGCTGTGCATCCAAAAGAGAGACCGAACGCCCATGTTGAATTCGAAAACTCATGGTCCTTGTCCTTAACGATCTTGCCGGGCCATGCGAGTGCAGCCAAACGGTATGTCCGAACGATGAACAACGGGTCTGCACCTGCCAGTACAACATGTCCTTCGGGCAAAAGTCCAGAGCACCAACCTTCTTCACAAAGCGACCATCGCTTGGCCCTCCACGCCTTCATCAGTAAACTGAAGGCAGCCAAAACCTCCTGTTCCTCGGCGTGGTTGTGGGAGACCCAGTCCCTCGTCTTCGTCACGTCTGCAAGAAGCTGTGCTTCCTGCACCTCCGAGGCACTGACCTGCGTGCTGACCGACGAATCGGAACGACGACGAACTGCTTGAATCTTCTTCTTCTCGGTGTCTTTGCAGAAAAGTTTGGCCACGTCAAACGCTGCCGGCGTGTGGTAGAGCTCCGTTGACAGTGCCTCCACCCTCTCGTACATCTTGACCACGGCCTGTTGGGTCACAGCCTTCCATCCGTCCAAACGACCCAAGTCCTTCGAAGACGAATGTCGTTGCTCGGCCTCGCGCTGGACTTTATTACAGTCTTCGATGATCTTCGTGTTCAAGAGGCCCGACCAAATGCTGGTCAATACGTGTGCAACGTCCTCCGTAAGGCTCTGAAACCGGGTAGTGCAAAGATCGGCGAGGATGTACCGACTAATCGGCCCTTGGGAGAAATGACCTTCGAGCAATTTTTTTGCCATACGAGAACCACCACTGTGCGTGTCCTGGATACAAGACTGCATCTCTTTGAAAAAATCCAAGCTTGCCCGACGGAACTGCTCTTCAGCATGGACTAGTCCTGCGGTCGCACCGAAACCTCCAGTATGGTACAGCTGTGCCCCGGCCCGCAGCCGCAGGATCTGTAGTGTCAACTGCGTCATTTGGCCTGCGAGCGAGTCCTGCCAGACAAGCTCTGTCTCCTCCGGGGGTTGTGCGCGTGCCAGTGTCAGGTCGAGGCCGACACGAGATAAACCTTCCAAATTCGACAAAGTCCTGACGTGGTCCTTTGCAGTGCTCATCCAAGACCAGTGTGCCCAGCCAGAGTAGTAGTCCTTCGTCATGCCTTTGGAACGCAGCTGCTTGAGCATGAGCGAACAACGAAGCTCTTCGGGTTGCAAGACCTGGAACATCATCCTGGCTGTCGTCTTGTTGTCCTGCGAGATCACGAACTTCGTCATTAAGTGTAGACTGTTCGCGCTGCCCTTCCGCTCCTGGTCCATGCCTTGCTTGGCCTCCTGTATGGCAGAAGACTTGCTTCCACCATATGGAACCGAGGCACGGGCCTGGTTGCTGTCCTGCGAGAAGAGGTCCTTAGTGGAAACTGCCCAGTTGTGCTCCAAGCAGACCACCGTGAGAACTAAAGCCAAGACCGACCACTCTTTGTCCAGCGCGCTGTGGGCCGTCGTCAGGGAATTGAACCGACTCTTGCTGGCCTTCGTGCCCTTGATGCGGATGCAGTCCATGTCGGGTAATGTCTGCAAAAACGACCTGCGTTTCTCCTCCGTGTTGTCGTCCAGGGGGGAGAGGCCGGCGTCCAGCAGAATGTCCGGGAAGAAAAGGAGCAATATCGGGTCCGAGGGGTCCATGTTGTCCTTCATGCGATTTGCGGCTTGCTGGATCTTCAACGCCCACGAGCCCTTCTGCCAGGGTCCATACCTGATGTTGTACAGCGAGATGCACCATGTGCAGAACTTCAGGAGTCCAGCGGCCGACAAGGCCAAAGCCACGTCGTTGTGCGACCTGTGGGCGGGGTCCGAGACGTGTTCGATCCAGAGGCTCTTTTTGTTCCTCAAGAAGGAGACAGCCGCCAGCTGTGTTGCTTCTTGGTCGGTGCACAAAATCATGATCGGTGCACGTTTAGCCTTCGTGTCGTCCTCCGCGGGGCCGGCCGGCGTGCTCTGGCAGCAGCCAAAAGTCCAGCCAATGGGTCGCAAGCCGTGGTTTATGTCCTGCATCCAAGACAGTGTGGCCAGCCGGTCCTCCGCATGACCAGGTCCAACGGGTTTCTCGATCCCGAGGAACTTCTTGGAAGCCTTGTTCCACATAGCTTTCCACTGCTCAGCCGACAAGACGGACGATTTCTGGACCTGCTGCGTGGTCTGACTACACAGAGAAAAATGTGAAGCAAAGCTTAGAGGAAGAGCTTGTCAGCAACAGCATGCAAAACAAACGACAGAGGTTGTTACCATATAATCACCCAGGGGCCCTTTTTTGGGGGACCGGCCGGTCAACTTAAGCGGGGATCTGGCGTACCTTTTTGGGGGCCGAAATGCAGCCAAAATGTGGCCGAAATGCGTTCCTCGGCCTCCACCCGGGACCCGGTCAACTTAAGCAAGGCTGTGCGTACCTACTCATCAGTAGAAGGGCGGCCGGGAGCCTTTATCAGGCCAATCCCGAAACCCAGGGGTCAGCGGGGATACGTGTACCTATCTTTATATAAAATACAATAGAAAGACTCCGCCCCAAACCGAGCCTGAGCGGGGATACGTGTACCTCCCCTCGGAAAAACGATTTTGGTCGGACCCAGAAGCTACGAAAACGGCACCCAAAAAGGTCAACTTAAGCAAGGCTCTGACGTACCTCGCCTCTTGCCTAAAACGCCTCAGAAATATGTGTTGCTTAACAAAAAAAAGCGCCTGCGGCGGGCAGACCCAAACTTTGTCCGTCGTGTGGTTGTACACCATGATGTTCAGCCAATCGTCACTTCCCACGTGCACTGCATCTGCCACCACGCACAAAATGTCCGTCGAGAGGAAATCTGACTTGCCCTGCGTGACATAGGCGTATCGCTCCATGCGTGCTAGCCTGTGTGCGTCCATAGAAGCGTGCTTCTTGATCTTTTGTTCGTCCTGCTGTTCGCTGCTGTCCTGCACGGTGAACGCATGTCCTTGCAATGTGGAGGTAAGTGTCCTGCGTGTGGCATTCGATGAACTCGCAACCTCTTGTCGAAAACTCGTGGACGACCGACGATATCCGGAGGTGCTCCTGAAACAACAGGGGGAATATCAATTTTCGGGCTTTCAAGACACAACCCTACATCTTAAAACCCCGGAACCCTCCAAACCCTTCAAACCCTCCAAACCCTCGAATCGAAACCTCTCTCCTAAGCTGCATCACTTGCTTCACATTCAAAGATGTCCAGCAGGAATGCGTGTCGTCCGACGAATCCATGGCACGTGCCAAAGCCGCCAACAAGTAGTACTTCGTCCTCAAACTAGATGACTTGCGAGTGTCTCCAATTGTCCGACGGGTGCAGTCCACATTCACATCCTGCAGCACGTCCATGAATCGGGAACGATCGCGGTGTAGTACTTTAGCAAGTAAACTGTTTTGCAGTACAACCTCGTCCACGTCCAGCGAACCTCCTTTGAACGGCAGCACCAGAGTGTTTCCGTCCCACGTGAATGAGAAGTCCTGCGGGGTCTGCAGGAACAAGGAAGCGAGGCCTTGAAGCAACTCCCCGGCCAGCTTGGATACCTCCTCTGCCGGCTTCTTCCATTTGGCATCTTTGCGCATACCCTGGTGCCATTGATGCAAAAGAACAATCGTTGCAAAGCTCGACGTGGCAAACTCTGTACAACGTGTGCTTCGTCCAGCTGCTACCTCTTCCATCTGGTCACCCGTGTGCTCCTCATTGTCCGCTTGCTCGTTGTCGTCCTCCATGTCGTCCTGCATCTGCTGCGAGGATGCCTTTCGTTTGGTGCCCTTCTTCTCGGCGTTTGCAGCGTGCTCCTGCTGCTTGAGGAGGGAGAACGAACTCTGGAGAAAGTGCGACTCGATCTCTTTTTTCAGAGCGTCCTCCGTGTCTGTCCAGCAGGGCCATGCAATCGTGAAGAGCTTGTTCCTGAACGTCGACACACTGCCTGCGAGGAAATTTCGAGACTCGTGTCCTCCGAGGAAGTCCACAAACCAACGCATGTGCCAAAAACGATGTCCATCCGTTACCTTGGTCTGCGGCTCTTTGAACTTGTAGCTCTCGCCCTTGAGGCTTCCGTGTGTCCCGCAGGGAATGCAAAATGCAACTGTCCGACGCTTGTCCGACGCAGAGCTGAAAAAAGCTGGAGGTCCTGAAGAAGAGGGTCCATCGGCAGAAGCGGGCTCCAGCATCTGATAGCGAGTGGATCAATTCTACAGTCTGTTTCTGGTGAACGAATGTAGCAAAACTTTATAGGCTATGTCCCAGGAAGTATATGTGACATCTGCCAAACCAAGAGAAAGGGAGGCTCTGCAGGCATGCAGCTTTTATTCTGGAAGCCCAAAGACAGCGGCAACGAATCGCTGATGTCGCAAGGCAGTGCTCACACCACGTGTCATGGGTCTGTGTTCTTCTGCAACATGTATGTAGCACATACTGCAAGGCACCGCAAGGAAGTCATTATTGCAGTCAGCCATTCATCGCACGTATTCTTTTATGCAGCTTGCAAGTTGCCGGCTTCACGGCCCCAGTGAAACTCGTGCCTGTCCACTCACTCAGACACAATGGGTCGAACGGCGAGGCGAACGACATTGTGCTTTTCGAGTGAACAAACTGGACAGAACAACGAGTAAAGTCAACCCCAAACTCAAGACACACTGAACTACCAGGAGAGAGTGCATTATGCACTCCGGACCGACGGGGTGCCCTGCGGCACATTGTCGCCGAGGCCAGCCGTGGTGTCTGCGTCCGACGACAAGTCGAAGGTCCACTTGGCCTTCATGTCCGGCAAAGTAGGAAAGAAACTCGCGCATTCAAAACTGAACAACGAGTTATGCTGTCCATCTGAAATGACACAGTCCACCGCAAAAGGGTCGTCCAATTGCCACGTCTTGTTGTCCGGGAGAGTAGGAAGCTCGTGGCTGAGGTACGACTCGTTGGGTACGAACTCCGAGCGGGAACGGCGAGGGTGTCCATCTTGTGTGGCAAAGACGTGGCAGTACAACGTGTTGTTCTAAGTGACCAGATGTTGTACCTGTCCCGGTCAACACTGATAGCCTCCGCCGAGTTCACCGCAGCTATGTAGTTGCGACCAACGTCCTCCATGCGGGCCCTCGCTAACTTGACCAACGTGGACTGATAGCGAATGTCCGCACGAGATGGCAAGGACGCCGACTTGGCTGCCCAGAACTGGATCTCGAAGAGGGTCCGTACGACGGGTTCGTCCTTCTGTACGTCCTCCGCGAGCTCCACACCGCAATGCTTGAGCATTAAGCTCGCCATCTCAAGCGGCAAACTGCCCCATTTGGTGCACTTGCCCTTCCATCTCAGTCCACCGGTCTCCTCCTTCTTGGCAACGTCCTTCAGAAGACCATTCAACGAGCCCGAGCGGATCAGACCAGCGAGTGGAGAAATCCAAGTCGGGTTCTGGGTCAGCGTGTCTTGAATGAACCGCATGTCCACGTCGAGTATGGTGCTTTTGGAGTGCTGAACGGCGGATGCGAACGTCGCCTCGTTGCGCTCCCGGGTCTTGATGTCCTTCGCTTTCTGCTTCGCCAGCTGCTTGAGGGTGGGCTTGCGGGGGCCGGCATCACGAGGCATGCTGGGCAAGGTCCGTCGAGGAAGAACGACGGGGGAAGGATGATAAGACTGCACGAAGTCTCAACGCACAGGCAGGACGGCTTCGGAAAACCAAACAATCAATCAAGCCCTGCTGCTGGGTGGTCTCACAGTGCATTGTGACTGGACGAACATGGCAAGCAAGACACAAAGCGTAGACCGCACGAGAGCACAGTGCCTGAAACGAGAAGGCTCAGCGGCAGCGATGCCGGCCAATGGAGTCCGTGTCCTCCATATGAACAGGACAACAGCGATTGCAAGAGCGCCTTCCTCCAGCTGGTTGACTACTGGTCTAGTAATTACTCGTAGCAATACTAATCCAGACTGCGAAGAGTAGTACTAGCAGCAGTACCACTACTCATTAAAGAAAGGAAAAACCAGTAGGCCGAAATTGCAGTCCCTATTAGTTGAAGTAGAAGTATTAGTAGTAGTAGTACTAGTAGTACTAGTAGTAGTAGTAGTGTACTAGTAGTAGTAGTAGTAGTAGTAGTAGTAGTAGTAGTAGTAGTAGTAGTAGTAGTAGTAGTAGTCGTAGTAGTAGTACTAGTACTAGTACTAGTCGTAGTAGTAGTAGTAGTAGTACTAGTAGAAATAGTAGTAGTAGTAGTAGCAGTAGTACTGGTTAGCTAGTAGTAGTAGTAGTAGTACTAGAAGTAGCAGTAGTAGTCGTAGTAGTGCTAGCAGAAGTAATAGTAGTACTAGCTAGCTAGCTAGCTAGCTAGCTGGCTAGCTAGTAGTAGTAGTAGTAGTACTAGTAGTAGTACTACTAGTACTAGTAGTAGTAGTAGTAGTAGTAGTAGTAGTAATAGTAGTAGTAGTAGTGGTAGTAGTAGTAGTAGTAGTACTAGTAGTAGTAGGAGTAGTAGTAGTAGTAATAGTAGTAATAGTAGTAGTAGTAGTAGTAGTAGTAGTAGTGGTAGTAGTGGTAGTGGTCGTACTAGTACTACTAGTAGTAGTAGTAGTAGTACTAGTAGTAGTAGTAGTAGTAGTAGTAGTAGTACAGTACCAATGCTAGTAGTACTTGTACTAGTCGTGGTAGTAGTCGTAGTACTGAGTTGTACACCTCATGATTATTTTCCTGAATCAAGCCACACCCGAAGCCCCTCTGTGGACAAGTATGGTGAACTTCCAGAAGTGAAATCGGTTTATACCATGCACTGTAAGTAGATCTAGTTAAGGAGACACCACCCGCAATGAATAGGCCAGAACTAACCTTAATGATTCACAGCCACAAACAACAAATCTAATGTGTAACGCCCAACACTAAAATTTACCGCTCACCCTCGATTCTATGCACTCGATGCTTGAAATGCTGAAATGGCAACCCAGGCAACAAACCGGACTCCAATTGCTCAAAGGCCTTTAACTCTTTATGTCTACGGCAATTGCTCCATGTCTGCTGCAGGTGGATCCTAACTTACCTCAGAGTCCGCGCAATGCCTTGTCACAATCCGAAAGCATGACCCCTGACTTAGTCCTCGTCCTGCCGTGTGGCCGTGCCCTGCGAACCGAACGAGGAGTGACCGACCTCAATTGCAATGCATGAAGCACATGACAAACCTAGTACGAGTGACTGGTGACTGCGGGTGGTTCAAGCACTTGTCGCTTCCGAGTGTGACAGGAAAGAACACAGCAACTGTGCCGATGCAAATCGTCACAAACTGTGCAGCACCAGAACTCCGAGGACCCCGCCAAAGAGGTGCCAGTCCATGTCAGCAACCTGAAGCGCAAAAGTTTAAGTCAGCAAACAGTGCGATAGGAACTAACATCCGGCAAATGTAAAGTGTGCCAGGACAACTCTTTTGAACGGCGAGAGCGAACTGATCTGAACTCCGAGTGCAGAAAACGTGTCACTTCGAGACTGGCCGGCGAGAGCGAACTGCTCCAGAACTCCAAATGGAGACTGGCCGGCGGGTACGTCGTGCTTGAACGAACTGCGGCTAGTTCCACGAGCCCGGTCCAAGTTCGAGTTTCTTGAGAAACAGTCCGATGCACTGAAAGTCGATCGTGTCACCTGAACCAGCGATGTCCGAAAATTTGTCGACTTGGTAAGTATTTCAGTTATACTACAAGGTTTACCAACAAAAATCTTACTGGTTCTGCTGTTGCACGTCCGTCGGGGCACTTCGTGATGCAGAAGTACAAGTCCGACGCGTTGTGCGACGACACCGCGTAGTACATGTGGCCCTGCCAGGGAACGGGGACGGCCACCGGGTAGGCCTCCCAGTCGCGGTTCAGCATCTCGACCATCCACGATTGCGGGTGTCGGGAACCGAACAGCGGGGAATGGAGTCCGGCGGAGAGGGCGCTGTCTGTCCTGCGCTGGGCCGCCCCGAGTATCTGCTTGAAGCAGAGCCTGGACCGGCAGTGGGTGCTGCGTGTTTAACCACTCACACACACAAGTGCAAGTACTGGAATGCTTGAATGACTGAGTGCGCTGATGTCATAGCTGAGTGCCACACTCCAACATTTTATCGCCCTGCATGTGTTCGACGAGTATCTGCCAGCCGTCGTCCTTCCTGCTAGGGAACAATTCAATTATCAGAAACACAAACTATTAAAATCTAGAAGTCTCTCTCACTCACCGTCCGAGGAGTCCGTGTCGCGAAGGCAGGGGGCCGCTTGTACAGCAGTCCATCGGTTGCAGCAAGCCAAGACCAAAGCCTACGGGATGTGCTCTGTGGAAAATAATCAATGTATTATAATATTATATGGATTTAAAAGCATGCACCTTCATAGAAACCACGCTACAACCAACATGGGTGTAACGAGCCTGTCCGCCCATTTCTGCTGCGTGTCGTACGGCGAGTGTTCGGGTACAAAGACAGTCGAGAGCCATTCGGTGCGCCATTCGGGCATCCTGTCGGGTTGTCCAGTGCGGAAATAATATGCCTGCGCAAGGCTCAGATCGGCGAGGAAGCACTGCAAATCCTCCTGCGAGTCAATGTCCGGCGGAAGGCAGTCCAAACAGTTCGACGGCAGCTGCTCGCAATAATCGAGATTACGCTGCAGGATGGTACTTGGGTCTTCCATCCCACAGACCGACGCGAGGTAATAGTCCATCGCACGAAAATCGAATATGACCTCGTCCTGCGGGTCGGTGGAACGGCGAAGAAAAAACGGGAGTCCATGGGGAAGTCCTGCTCGGTCAGCGGAACCGGAGGACGACATGTCCGACGAGAAAGAACGAGGAAAGGGAGAGGAATGATGATGACAGTGGCAGGTGGCTTGGGCTTTCTGGCAGCGGCATGATAACAATGATTCTGTGTCTAGGCTTCTTTAAAAAACCTAAAGCATCACCAACCACGACAGACCATGATGCTTCAGATGAAAGTCTGCCTGACTTGTGCTGCTGCTCCACACTGGCAAGTGCTAGGCTGCCCACGGTGATCTACGTGTGCCCACTCGAAGTCCAGCGGAGTCACCTTTGTGAGGCCGACGTTAGTACTACATGGGAACCATGGACTCATCATTTGTCCCTAGTCCTTCGGGGTGGTCCTGCGGCGCCGCTTTTGAGCTTCCTAGCTTAAATCATAGTAACTTCGAATGCAAAGTGCACAGAAAAGGAGCTTGGACAGTCCTAGGAACCGACCTTGAACAGTCTGGTTACAAAACCCAGCATTCTTTACAAGA